GAAAATCTGTGCATATGTCTGAATAATTCTAAGTTAATCCATTGTAATACATAATATTGTAGAACAGTTTCTCAAAAGTTTACTCAAATTTTCTTTTTTATCAGAGCTTTTTATACAGGCTTATATTGCATTTTCTTTGAAATATTTTTGCCATTTTATTAATAGCAATGATTCACAATGCCTGTTCCTTATGGCTATATATGTATAGCTGAGAATTGTAATTTCAATAGAATTTTTTAAGTAATAGTTATTAAAAATTTTGTGCGTTAAATTTTCTATTATTCTTGTGTCTCTTTCTGAGTTCCACTCTAAATTAGCTTCAGTGTTGTTTAGTACATTTTCTCACATTGGTGATGTTTTTTTTTTTTTTCATTTTTATATCCATATGTTATAACTGAATAGAAATATTCATGACTTCTTGCTTTAGGACAATATTAAATAAAATTAAAATACACATAATCCATATGCCTATTTTCAATTAAGTTATATATGCTTTTACATACTAGTTTAAATATTATCCCTGTTTTATTTATGATTTATATATAGTACTTTGATTGTTTACTTTGTTTATTTGACTATTCATATAATTTATCTAAATTTTATTATATAAATACATATAGATGTGTATGGATACTGCAGATTGAAATCAGGGTTGCTATAATACTGAGATACATCTCCAGTTTTATAGTTTTATTTTGAAACAGATTTTTGCTAAGTTGCTGAAGCTGGTTTTATATTTCCATTTCCATTTCCCTGCCTCAGCCTTCCCAGCAGCTAGAATTACTAGCATATTCATCATCTCTACATAAATGAATTTGTTCTTTTATGTAGGAGTAAAACTTAAGCATTTCAAAGGTAGCTTACAAAGATTTCCACAATTCTGTTTATCTTTTATATATTTTTCAAATTTTAATTTTGATAAAAACCATTAGCTAACTTACTTATACTTAAACCTACAGCCTTACATTCAAATTGTTTTGTAACATATTTCTAGAAAGTTTATTTTTACACAAAAATAAAATTTGTTTAACCCCAAAACAAGTGCTCATGTGTCTGTCACCCTTCCATCTCAGACACCATTCCTTCTTGCTTGCCCTAAAATTGAGGGCTAATTACTCTCAGTTTTGTTACATCTGTCTTACTCATCTAACTTCATGTTGAAATAAAACTGTTGAATATTGAAGCTTTCATTATTTTTATATCAGGATACATTTTCTTTATTTTGAATGTTTAGTTATTTATGTACCCTGGATACTCTATACAACTTTTTAAGTAACTTATTTTTTCCTGCTAAAATAATATTGAATGTTTTATAGTTGTTTTGTGTTATTCTTAGCTTATTAAATCACTTTGTGGGGTATAGGGCCTTTTTTCTTCTACCATGGATACTTAACAACTGAGCCACATGCACAATCCTTTTTAATTTTTATTTTTGAGACAGAGTCTTGCTAAGTTTCTAAATCTGGCTTTGAAGTCACATTGATGAATTTTTGGTTACAAATTTCCTTTGGAATCCCAACTAATTATAATAGAAAAAATTTCAGTATTTAATAACTATTAACATTTTTTTTGTTCTTTTTACCTGGTCCCTTTGGGATAATATTTCCATAAACTATTGAAAAGATTCTCTCTCTCTCTCTCTCTCTCTTTTTTTTTTTTTTTTTTGGTGGTATAGTGAATTCAACTTGGGGGCACTCAAACACTGAGGCACATTGATTGCCAGCCCTAATTTGTACTTTATTTAGAAACAAGGTCTCACTGAGTTCTTTAGCACCTCACTGTGGTTGAAGTTGGCTTTAGACTCACAGTCCTCCTATCTCACCTACCTAAGCCACTGGGATTACAGGCATGCACCACTACACCCAGCAAGATTGACTCTTAATGTAATTGACTCTTAATGTAATAATACTTTTTAAAATTTTCTATTCCCTGTTTGCTATTCCAATACTATTTTGTTCCTTTGCATTAATTGGGGATGGATGTCCCCTAGTATTACTTGGTTGCTTTCAATCATGTTGAATTCCTTCAGTGTTTGCCTTCTATATTTGGAAAATATGATTTGTGCTACATGTGTACTTACTACTATTGTATTCTACAAATTGACCACATTTACCATTATATAATATTCTACTTTGCCTCTAATTATTTCTTATATTATCATCTGCATAATTTTGAATGTAATATTCTTTTCATCCTTTTGGTTTTAGTATATYTGTGACCTTATATCTAAAGGAAAACTCCTGTAGACTTAGATCTGACATAAGTACATATRTTTAGGTTTAATCTTATTGGTTACATTATGTGTTCTGATTAGTTTTTTATAATAGATTATTTGTACTTAAATTACTGATGAGGAAGAACTTACTACTTTAAGCTTTTGAAGTTTGGGTTATTTCTTATAGTTTTTCCTACTTTTAAAAAAACACTTTAATTTGTGGTTTATATATTTTTTTAGAGTAATGTTTTGATACCTCCCTATTTTTCTTTATATCTTCTATGACAATTTTTTTTATAAATTTGAAGTCACATAAAAGTTCTTCAAAGATGGTAGAATGAGTTGAGCATAATGTTTTCATGTTCATGTATGAATTATGACCAGTGTAATTCATGTACAACCAAAATCATGTACAACCAAAAGATTGGTAAATTATTCTCCATGTTTGTATGTCAAGATACATTACACTGTCATATTAACAAAAATGAACAAATAAGAAATAAAACTACTTAGTTTGYACTTTATTCTAAACTGAACTAACTTTGGTTTCTTATAAAAATCGGTGACTTTACATGTCTTATCATGATTTGTTATTGATATCATAGCTGTTTTTTATAATCTATACCAATTAACAGAGATTTATGATAATTTTTAGTCTTTCAAATTCTGTAGCAGAATTRAATGTTTTATGCACTACCATGACAGTAAAATGGAATTTACATTTGTGTATACTTTGCTTTTMTCCCTTTCAAATTTTTATGATTTATACTGTTGTGTAACTTTATTTTATTGAAAGAATTTCCTTTARTGTTTCTCTTAGAACAGGTCTAAAAGTGAGGAAATTTTTGAGCATTTACATATCTTGAAAAAATGTATGTTTCTTAGCTTCAAAAAATACTATTTTTGTATACAGAATTCTAGATTAGTGTCTTTTGTCTTTAAACACACATGACTAAATGCTCCAATTCCTTTCTGGAAGACGTCTGCTAAGAATTCAACTATTAAAAAAATAGAAGTATCTTTACAGATGACTCATTTATTTTTCTGGCTTCTATCAAAAATTTTTCTTGAAGAGTTTTAAAAAGTTGGGTATAAATGCTTTATCTTGAATCTTTTAATTAAGATTATTAAATTTGATCTTTTTTTCTCCCACATTTCTAATTTATCAGACATTGTTTCTTAAAGAATATTTCTAATACACAATTTTCCATTTTTCTAATGCTAATTTTTTAAATTAAATTTCAGTCACTTTTCTTCATTGTTAATTAGTTCAATAATTATCAATCAGTTGGTTACTTGGCATTCTTTAGATAATTAACTCTCAATTTCCCAACTGTCAATTTATAGTGTTACATACTGTCTCCGCTTGAGTCAATTTTCTCTTTGTGTGTGTGTGTGTGTGTGTGTGTGTGTGTTGTTAGTTTCATTGATGTTTTTCCACTTAAAATCCCTTTAAAAATACATGATTATAGTCATTTTGCGAAAGGTTTGAAAGTTACTAAGTAAACAAAAATTGGTTAGATGCAATGATACATAACTGTAATTTTAGATAATTTGTAGGCTAAGGCAATAGAATTGCAACTTTAAAATGAGCTTCCTTATCTTTCTGACATCCTGTCTCAAAACATATAAAAATGTATATATAGAAAGTCTATGGATGTAGTTCAGTGATTAAACACCCCTGTGTAGATTATACTGCTTATGGATATTTTCCTGACCTCGGTAAAATTTTATATATTTGCAGAGTATATTCACCACAGTCTAATAAGTGGAATAATTTGTTATTTTAATTTCTTTCAGGAATGTCTCCTCATCAAATACTAGAAATTTCAGCAGATCAAGGAATAAACTATTTATGGCAAACCATGAAAAATGGAAGGTATGGAAACTATGACAATAAAAATTTACTTTTAAAGAAGGAATGGAAAATTGTGGGACAGAGGGAAGTTCAGTAATTTATCTTAATGAACGTAACACATGCATGATGATTATTTAAAATGAAGTCATTTTATGTTATTATATAACATCTCAGAAGACTCCTCAGAGTGACAATATGTGTCAATCTACGTATATAAGCAACATTTCAGGCCATTATGAAACTATCTTCAAAATATCTTCAGAAAAATAATCATTCAGCAAGTTCTCTCAGCTTTAAAAATATGATTAGAAATATTTATTTTAATAAAAAATCAAAACAATGATTAAATACTGATTAATTAGTTATTTTTTAAAATGATTACTAATCTGTACTTGAGTGCACATTATACTAATATCTGCAAATTATTAATGTAATACTGCAGTACTTCCATCTGAAAATTGTATGGTGTGATAAAACAGTAATTTTCTACACAGTATAGGTGAATTGTTTCTTTTTAAACACACCTATAGTATTTCCACTTTCAGACATGGAAAACAATCAGATTATGGAAAAATGGAAGAATAACAGCGAGTGTCACTAGTACGTTTCAGTTGACAAGAACTATTCAGTAATCAAATATTTTTTTAGGTGGAAGTTCGATAATCATTGCTTTTTAAATGAGACAAGAATTAAAAAAAAAAAAAAAGAAGAGGAGGAGAAGCAACTAGGTCTTTCTAGAAAACACCAAATAAGTGCACTCCTTATCTGTCATGGATGACAATTCAAGCAAAGAAAAGGCTCAAGGAATTCTTGGCACAATGCTCCCAGAATATCCAGAGTCCTTGTGACCTACAGGTCTGCATGAAGCCCCAAAAGCAGACTTGRGGGCCTTATTAAAATACTGGGAAGGCTTCTGAGATAAGTCTGGGCGCAAGTGAAGAGGTAGAAAACACTTCTGGGTAAGGGGTAGCAGGATGGATGTTGGGGCAGATTAGGGGAGGTGAAAGACTAAAGTTTGTAAATCAGAAAATTCTGCAGAAAATTAAAACCACCATACTTAGCAGGTAAGGTGACCTTTGAAGGAGGCATGGCTCACCATCAACCATCTCCCCTGTAGGGAACAGTGTTCCAGTCTCTCTTTGGCATATAATGAGTTTTTCTACACTTTCAGAAGCACATTTTTTTAAGACACCCCATTCTTGGACTCTCCCTGACTTTTGATAATTTGATTCAAGGGCATCTATAAATTCATTTATAAATTAATTCCACTGGAAATTATCTTGATGTGCATTCAGTGCTATTTACGGGCTCATAAGTTAGCAAAATCCTCCATTTGATTGCTTCACTTTCCATAGCAACAACATCTTCAATAGAACTCCAAGTTGGAATCTGAAAAGATTTGCATATTTTGTGGGKTTTTTTTTGTTGTTGTTGTTGTTGTTTGGTTGGTTGGTTGTTTGTTTTGTAGGATGGGGTTTGCTCTTATACATAGGAAGGAAAACATTTGAAGCGTCAAATCCAGAAACTTCCTGGATCATATCCATGTCTCCAGTAAGCTTAATACTGTTGTTATGAGATTCTTCTGAAGCCATAGCCCTAATTATCTGGCCATCCCAAGGAATCTGCCTTCAACAAATGCAAAGTGACTTCTTTCTCATTTTGGTTAGCTAGTTAAACATAGGGATTTTTAGCAAGAGTCATAGTGATAGTGATTTTTGCTAGAAAGTTAAGAATCCAACACAGAAAGGCAACTGAGAGAAAAGCACTGTGGTTACTAAAGGTTTTGGCCAAGACACCAACTGGCTTGTCCACCAGTAGGGGCCAAAACTTGGCATGAGCCAAGGTGTGCAGCACATGTACTCATTCTGGTAAAGGAAAAAGCCTGATTCAGATGGACATGTGGATTGGCAACCACTGGGGCTAATTAGGGAGGAGGTGGTCTTTATAAGGGTGGACTTGAGACATAATAGTATACTTCTGGGCACAGCTCAAGGGGTTAACATTGCGTCAGCGTGACATAGCAAATGGAGTGTTTCACCTCCCACCCAGATCTTAGGCATTTTATCCTCCAGGGTTAGAAAACTACTKCTTCCTGTGATCTAGTCACCAGAATTTTGAAACTGACTGAATTCTTAGGCACTCAACAGTTACTAGTGTACTCTCTGACAAAAAGCAGAAGAGAGTGCCATCACTGCAAACAACTGAAGTCCAAAAGCAACAACTGTCATTGGGATGGCCTCATAGCCTGCTGGGGAAAGAAATTTATATAAAGACACTGGTATCTGACCACTGCCCTCAGTTCCTATCACATTTCTCTTCAAGTAGAAGACTTTATCCTGTCTTACTCCAACTGCAAAAAAAAAAAAAAAAAAAAAAGGAAGCTCTGTTCATACAGTCCTCCCCATATATTTACCTTGTCTTTGGAAAAAAGCATTCCCTGGTGCTTCTTTCCAATAGAACCTCTCTCCAGGTTGCAGACTAGGACAGGAAAGCATGGTTACCATATAGCAAAACTGCTTAATCCTTAGGAAAGTAATGAAGATACTTGCAAAACATTCTTTAATTATGGGAACCAATTTTTTGTTTGTTTGTTTTTGTTATAACAGCATATAAACTGTTTCTGTGACTATTGTACATCACAGACCTGGCTATGTTCCAGGAGGTTGAAGGCAGGAGGCACTCAACAGTTACTAGTGTAATATCTGACAAAAGACAGAAGTGAGTGCCATCAATGCAAACAACTGAAGTCCAAAAGCAACAGCTGTCATTGGGATGGCTTTAACCTGATTACTCAAAAATAATAATCCATAGTGGAAAGAAAGACTCTGAAAATTATTGATGTTTTTGTTCTTAAAGCCAATGTAATATGGGATAGTTCTTTCCAGGGGCCAAACCCAACAGTGTGTGTGTGTGTGTGTGTGTGTGTGTGTGTGTGTGTGTTTGTGTGTTTTAATGCATGAAAGAAAACAGTATTTTAATTTTCCTGATTGGGTCACAACAGTATTTCAAAGAGAAGAGGGAGGATGGTGAATTGAATAGCATTTCATTTAGAAAGGAACATGGCAGGAGCATCTGCTGGCATCACAGTGTGAATAGAAAATAAGAGCATCAAAATCCTCCATGAGATACTCTTCTGAAGGCCAATAATGAATTTAATTGACATCACAGGGACACAATGCACCACACAGACAAGCTAGCTCTCTGGATGGTGGAGGGTAGGATATTTTCTCCTCAGAGTAAGTTTACAACAGTGTTTTTGTGGTTTAACCCAGGCAAAACGCAGCCAAGCCCTTCATGGCATTGCTCATACTCCAGACTCAGTGAGTTGCTGAAACTCCAGTGGATCTCTTCTAGTTCAGATGAATTTCTAAGGTGGAAATGAGCTAAAGTGTCTGCAATTTTTTTTTCCTCAAAGAGTATGCTACATCTTGTCAAGAGTTTTCTGTTTCTAAAGTCTTCTTTCAGTTCTGATCACAGGTTTTTATTTAATGCAAGACTGTTAGTTTTTAATATAGAGGGACTGTTAAAACTGCTTTTCTGGGGATGGGGTTCTGGCTCATAGATAGAGTACTCACCTAGCATGTGTGAGRCAATGGGTTYCATCTTCAGCACCACCTAAAAATAAAATAAATATATTGTATCCACCTACAACTAAAAAAATAAAAGTTTTTTTTWAAAAATTCTGCTTTTACTTGACGCAGATTAGAAGGTCTGCACTGCCAGAAATGTTAGGTTCAGATGTTTTACAGCTTTGAACACTGGACTAAAGAATTACTATGCGTGGTATAATACTAGTTTTTTTAATTGTTTTTGGCTTTTCAGTCCCCAGAGTCTATCACCTTGTGTCACTGCATTTATTTTATTATCATGACTGTATGGTTCAGATTTCTGCTTATCTTGATTCTCCACACTGTTTTCTGCAATGTCACCTACGACTGAGAAAAGTCTGTGGAAGGCTACTGATGCTTATTGTTCTCCATTCTTCTGGCCCTTATTTTTTTCTGAATATAGTCCCTCTACAGCCAGAGATTTGTTTATTTCATGACTAAAAACTGCTGCTGTGTCCTGACTCCTGAGCCGATCCTACWTATTGGACCCAAGAATTGGTCTCAGCTTCAGTCATTTTTAATGATTCATGATGTAGTGGCCTATCAGAGTGCCCATTCAAACAATGGTAGGCTTTATAGCTAATGGCAACAGCAGCCTCCTCATTTTCATACATACCCAGAAATTCTTTGATAATGAGAACACTTGGGGTGCTACCATCTGGAAGGAAAAGATCATGGTGATGAAAACCAGCATCCATAAAGAGTTTGGCATCATGTACCTTTTTATTCAGAAAAATAATGGCAGTAACATTGTGAGTCTTAAAATATAGAATATAATTCTCAGGAGAATGTTGTGGATCTTGCATGAAGTCTGCAGAAGGCAATAAGGTGGTCTGGTATTAGCCAATTTAAATCTCTATTTTCAGATCTTTCATAGTGTTTGTACTCATCAATGTCAAATGTGTTGAAATTTAAGAAGCCATATTGTTTTGTCTTCACTGCATGAGAATAGTTGAGAAGAGTAATATAAAAATTGCAACTTCCATAGGCAGCATATTTGAAAGAAATGGAAAGGGTGTTTCCAAAGATTAATATTCTATTTCCATTTTCTGGAGTTTCCCCCTAAAAATAGAACCATATAACATCTGAGTAAGAAGACAGCAGTAGCTTGTTTTCTCTGATTGAACATAGTAAAATTAATAATTCTCTTCCTTATCATTATAATGGACTTAAATTTATTATTTATATTGCAAAAATATCTGTAAAGCATTTCTGGATTGAGTGGTTTCAAATCTTCTTAGAAGTTCTCATATTTTATTTCATTGTCTATACTGAAGTAATATTCATTCGACACACTCTTTAGTCTGCTGTAGACAATAACAAAASAAAAGCATTCAGGAATGTCCAGGTACAGGTTGTCCTAGAGTTCCAGGCGGTGCAGTTCTTGCAATGTGTAGCTGTAGCTCTTCTGTATATTGGGCAAGGTTGACCATCAGTGCCGTGAACAGGGGAGTACATCTGCCCGACTCAGCAGTGGATCAATCCTCTGCTTAATGGAGTTGGCTGTGGCCCTTCATGGGGCCATGACCATGGCCCAAAGCATATGCATGCTCAGCAAGGCCCCCACCAGCCTGAAGCAGGTGCTAGTGGGTGAGGTGTGTGTGGCAGTGCTGTGGGGACGTGAAACTTCCCCTGAACCCAAGAAAGCGGCTGAAAATATGTTAGTCACTTTTGAGGATATATGTGTACCTTTAAATATTCTCCACAGAGTTTCTTAGAATTATATACTTTCTCTAAATAAACGACAATATTTGCTATTGAGTCTGGTTATGTTTCATTTAGTTACTGGAATATTTTGAAATATAGCATTGAGCAAATATTCACTTAAACATTTCTATAAACAAGAGGATAAAAAATAAAGAACATATTTCTGACTGTGATCAATGTCATTCTTATTTTACAAAAAGACTGATGTGTAGTTTTTCCTTGTGCTAAAACATGGAATTTTAATGAATGTGGGAAGATTTGTACTTACCTACTATTGCTTAAGATAAATTCAGATATAGCTAATTAGAGAGATATCTACATTTATGATAAATCATTCAAGATCTKTTGACAGGTCTGTACCCTAAGTAATTAGCACTATATTTATTTTTGTGTAAATCAGTATAATTCTGTGAAACTCATCAAAATTTAATACTTTTTTTAAGTCCTAGAAAACATCAGTGTGACCATTTAAAAAAGAAGGTTTATGAACACAATAAAAGTGAGAAAGTTTTTCATAAAGGCTCAAAATGTATCCATCCAAACTTTCATATCCAAGAAAAGAATTATCAATGTAAGGAATGTGAAAGAGCTTTAAATAAACTTGAAAGCATTACTGAACACCAGATAATTCATACTGGAGAGAAGCCCTACAAGTTTAAAAAGTATTTCAAAGCATTTAAGGATTCCTCAACCCTTTATCATAACAGTGATATACCGTGCATAAGTAAAGAATGTGACAAAGGTTTTACTCAAACCTCAATCATTACTAAACACCATAGGATTTTCTGTGGAGAGAGACCAAAGAAATGTAAGGAATGTGGCAAAGTCTTTCAGTGTCATTCAAAACTTATTAAAAACTGCAGTATTCATACTGGAGAGAAGCCCTACAAATGTAAAGAATGTGGCAAAGCTTTTAATAGAAGACCACACCTTATTCAACAACAGAGAATTCATACCAAGGAGAGACCATATAAATGTAAAGAATGTGGAAAAGCTTTTAATTTTAGGCAACACCTTACTCACCAGAGAATTCATGTTGGAGAGAAGCCATACAAATGTAAAGAATGTGGCAAAGATTTAAATCAAAGATCAGACTTTTTAGTTCACCAGAGATTTCATACTGGAGAGAAACCATACAAATGTAAAGGATGTGGTAAAGCTTTTAATATTAAACAAAGCCTTATTGTTCACCAGAGAATTCATACTGGAGAGAAGCCCTACAAATGTAAAGAATGTGGCAAAGCTTTTAATCAAAGAACACACCTTTGTCGTCACCAAAGAATTCATACTGGAGAGAAGCCATACAAATGTGAACAATGTGGTAAAGCTTTTAATAGAAAATCATATCTTATGCATCATCAAAAAATTCATACTGGAGAAAAGCCATATGGATGTAAAGAGTGTGGCAAAGCTTTTAATCAACCATCACACCTTACTCGTCACCAGAGAATTCATACTGGAGAGAAGCCATACAAATGTACAGAATGTGGCAGAGCTTTTGCTCTCAAGAAAACCCTTATCGATCACCAGAGAATTCATACTGGAGAGAAGCCATACAAATGTAAAGAATGTGGCCAAGCTTTTAATCGAACATCACAACTTACTCAACACCAGAGAAATCACACTGGAGAGAAGCCATACAAATGTAAAGAGTGTGGCAAAGCTTTTAATCGAGGATCACATCTTAATCAACATCAGAGAATTCATACTGGAGAGAAGCCACACAAATGTAAAGAATGTGGCAAAGCATTTAATCAAAGATCACGTCTTATACAACACCAGAGAATTCATACTGGAGAAGACATAAGAATGTAAAGATTCTTACATTCCTACATTCTTACTTGGCAAAGCCTTATAGGTCACCAGAGAATTTATACTGGAGGGAACCCATACAAATATAAAAAAAAAATGTGGCAAAACTTTTAGTCAAATTTCCAGGCTCAATGTTGACCAGAAAATTTATACTGGGGAAGAGCCATACAAATGTGAAGAATGTGGTAGAGTTTTTAAGTATGTTTCAAGTGTTATGAAGTACCAGAGAATTCATAGTTGAGAATTTTTGGAAATCTATAAAATGAAAAGTCATTTAATGTGCAAACACACCTTATTGATCACCAAAGATTTTATACTAGAAAGACAACTTACTGTACTAAAGAGAAATGTGGCAAAGTTTTTAATCAAATCTCACCATTTGAAAATTATCAGACATTATACTAGTGATTACACCCTACAAATGTAAACAATGTGACAAAGCTTTTAATGAAGGTTCACATCTTAAAAAATCTCCACAGATTGAGTATTAAAGAGAAGCCCTATAAATAGCAATGATACATCAGAGCTTTAGTCAAATTTTTTAAAAAAGCATACTCTATCAAAACCTAATGCATACAATGTGTGCATCTGTAACTTGCATGCCTTGCATATCAGSAAAATATACATTATTGAGGAAAATTTTGATCTATGAGAAGTATAGCAAGGTGTTATATTGGATATGCTTCTGAATATAATAATTTTCAGGGAGATTATATATTAATTGAGAATGTGATATTACTTTTATAGTTGCTTAAAATTTAATTGGCATAACTAGTTAATGTGATAGAAATAAAGAAATTCTTAGATAACACTATGGTACAGACTGTCAGGAGCTGACCTGGATGCAGATCCCTTCAATTCCTCATGCACCAGGTTCTGAACAATTACTGTCTTCAGTCTGGCATGGTAGTCCCAAGTCTCAGTAACTTTGGAGTTCCCCCAGCTAGGATAAAAGGTGTGCCTCCAGGAGTAGGTGTTACCCACTGAGGTTGAGTTACACTCACCTGTTCCTTTGTAATCCTACCCCTTTGTTCTTTTGGGGATAGAATGTTCCATGGAACTTGCCCCTTGTGTATCTCCTATATAAGAATAAATAATTCCAGTGGCTCTCTCTTTCCATGGACCTTTAAGGTTGGAGAGCCATCATGGCTCAGCCATAACTCTTAGAAGTTACTACTGTGTGCTTGTGTGATTTTTTTTTGTCATTTTTCTTAAGTTATTGGAATAGTCAAATTTTGTGAAGCCAGAATTGGGTCTCCAGTTAGGGTAGATGGCAATAAATGGAGGCCTGGTGAAGGCGATCCCCCACTCACTGTCGTGACAGGGTCACAGTGAGAAAAAGTGTTGGCAAAGCCGCTCTCCCATTCTCTTGACAGGGTCACAGTGAGGATGAATGCTGGCAAAGCCACGCTGGTTGGTGGGTAACCAAAACCATGAGACCCTTTTTTTATGTAATTGGGACTTTGCATTTTCATGCTTATGTTTCTCACAGGAGGCATGAGTATGTTAAATGCCAAACAAATTAAATTTCAGATGGCTAGAACATAACAGGTAGTTCATGCCTTGGAGGCTGTTCTACTACCCCTCAGCATATCAAGGACAAAGTAGAAGGCTATTCTTCTATCTTAGTACATTGTGGACAAACCTAATAACGGACAACAATCATCCTCTGAAAGGTCATGAGAACTAGTGCACCTTGACTAAGAAACAAAGAAACTCTTTGAGAACTAGTGTACCTTGACTGAGAAACAAAGAAACTCTTTGAGAAAGCAGCTCAACCAGTTTTATGAGAATAAATTTAGGAATTAATTAAAATAGCTTTATAHGACACAGTTTTAGAATAATGTTAGAAATATTATTTTATTTAGATTCTTAAGTTTAGAAATTCTTAAGTCTTTAGTTGTATAGGTTTCTAATATGTTTTAAGGATGATTCATAAACTTTAGGACATTTTAAATATAAGATTTAAAGGGACTTTTTTAGATGGGAATTTTAGATTAAAAATAAAGTACAAGTGTACTTTAGGTTAATGATTGGTTAGGAGACTTAGAGTCTGGTTACGTAGTTTGGCATTAGTTAATAAGAAAATAACAYATCTTGGGAAAAATAGTAAATCTTGGGAAAATCTGAAAAATGTAAATTAGTGACATATTTTATTAATGATTCTTTACTTTTGATAATTATATAACTGAAGGTTATATCCTGGAAAAATGTAAATTAATGTACCCTCAATCATGGTTAAGGAAATGTCATGTCTTGGCAAAGTTTTAAATTATATAATTAATGACGTATTGTGAATCTATAATGATGAGAAAAGTTGTAATAAAAGGGGACCCAGAGAAAGCTGCTTTAGCTCTCTCTCTGGAGATTGCTTTAACGGAACGACTCCTGTCTCATCTTTTTGCCAACGCCACTCATCCTTCAGGACTCCCTGGACCCTGCTAGGGCAGGACCCTGGCAGAGGCCCCATAGGGATTCCAGCATAAATTTTAGAAATTAAGTGGTTTTGGTATTTTTCTCCAGAAGTTAAGCCCACTTAGGTTTTCAGGGTATTATCAGTTAAGTTGGACAAAATAAGTGAATTAGAAGAAAAACAATGTAACATTAAACTTATAATATCTGGATTTTTTTTGTCCTTTAGAAACAGCAAAAATTTTATTTTCTGCAACTCTGGGGAAAATAAATAGACATAAAAAATGAGAAATTAGAAAATTCAAAGTACCACAGAAATTAAGATGATAAGGAATATATAGCTAAGTTTTGCCCTCTTCCATAGGAAAAAGTTATTTATATATATATATATATATATATATTTAATTTTTACGTTTTGAAATATTAGGTAAAGATTTTCTGGGTTGTATGTCAGGAATCCACACTTGGGGAATGAGAAAACAAAAGAAAAGCTGTTTTTTGTTGTTGTTGGTTTTTGTTTGTTTGCTTAATGGTAAGATTGTTGGGGGGGGGGGAGGACGTGTGGGTTTTTCTACTTTTAAAGAGGCATTTTTTTTTCCAGCTGTTTTGGGGCAGATGCAGGGCTTTGACCGCTGTCACCTGTGGAGCCACCAGATAATTCTGCCACTTGAAAACCCTAGTTTAACTGGGCACATGTTGCCTTAGAATTTGGTAATGGTGGCATCATCTGCTGAGGGGCCCATTTTTTATGTTAAAAGAGTTTTTGAGRTGCTCCCAGGAGAGTGAGCACTAAGTAAACAAAATGCAGGGAGATGGTCCTTTGAGAGAAGACTATCCGCTTACCCTGGCTCCGCAGTTCACAGAGTGGGAAATGACAGAATTTTTGCATGGCCATCCAAGCACAGGCCCACTAGCACCAGCATAAACTGTTGGCACTTCCCTGGCTGTATCCCAAGGAGGAACAGACCAGGTAAGACCTAGACATCTAGGGAAATTTGGGGTGCAAACATAAGGGTGAGGTCACAGGGCAAACCCAAGCTGGAGTCAGCAGCTGCAGCCATGACCATCAGCCCCGCTTCTCCTGCCTCATGCCAACTGGCCCATCAGCCAGGGGAACACAAGGTCACTGCTTCAACCTCCCGGACCCTAGGGGAATGGCGAAGTGCTGCAAGATGTGGGTCGCAGAGGGACTACAGGTGGGGGAAGGCAGACTGGTTGAAGGAAGTATGACCCCTTGGGGAAGTTTCCAGGGCACTTACCCTGAGCAGGACCCTATGGTGGGCAACAAGCCCAGCCCCCACAGGGTGAATGTGGATGCAAAGCCYGCCCCAGTAGGGAGAACCCATGTCTTGCACTGCCAAGTGTCAGGTGCAGCCACAGCTGCTGGCAATGGCCATGCCCACTGGCCATATGCTGTTTTCTCACCATGACAACCACTGGCAAAAGCAGACAGTACACGCCAAGATACCATGAGGTTTGGCCAGGACTGCTGGTAATCGCACATGCGGATACACAAGGTTTCAAACAGAGCCTCATGGTATATTCTGGTTACATGCTTTTACACAAAATATTCTGTAGCCACAATGAAAGAGAAATTTGGCAGATAAGTCCTACCTCTAGCAGTCTTCCTATTGTTCATTTCATTGTCACCCAAACAGGGTTTTTTGGTCCTGGCTTGCAACCATTAACCTATACTTTCTGTTTCACATAGGGCTGCTCCCGAAGCTACACAGAGCCTACATTTTACTTAAGAATGCCCAYCTGTAAATACTAACAAAAGATATCCTTTTCAGGCAAAATTTAGTTAATTTAGTTTCAGGTTCCTGCCTGCCTGTATGTGTTCTCAAACTAAAAAAAAAAAAAAAAAGATTTTTATCCCTCGCCAGGTTCTCTTAGAAACTATTTATAACTGTTTTATTAAGAAAAGTTTCAGAGGTAATATAGTAATTATAAGAGGTTATAAGGATTAKTGTTCTCCAAATTAAAGTTGTACATTAGTTTTTAACAATAAAAGTTTTAAACTTTGTTGTAAATTAATTTATCTTATATAAATTCTCTGACTGGACCTATAATTCATGAAACATTGTAAGACATGTATGTTGCCCCCTTAAATGGGAAACAACCTTAATCATATTGTTTAAAAGACAATTTAGTGACACCTACTTAAAGGATAATATTCTGAGATATAAAGATATTTTAAGACATTCTCTCAGAAAGAGTTGGGGGGTTCTACTTAAATTGTTAGGATGAATCAGCTAGTTATCTAATTTTTATATCTAGCCTCAACTACTATCATCAAATAAGGGCTTAAAAATTGGAAAGATCGAAGGAACCTCTATAACTTAATATAGACCAAAACAAATTCAGAGAGATTTTTTTAAAAGGTCCAAATAAATGTACTGTAGGGTTTCAGAATGTATGCCAGATGTCTAATCTTACCTAGAGAAATATTATGCTATTACTTAGCTAAACTATGAAATAGAAGGCCATCTTAGAAACAGTTTTAAAGGAGATTTATCTTAACCATGTCCCACTAACACAGAATAGGGACAAGCCTGACAATTTGGAGCAGTTCCCCAGGACAGATTGGTGTCTAACAGATAAACAAAATGCCTAAAATATAATTTTAGGGGCTGGGGCTGTAGCTCAATGGTAGAGTGCCTGCCTCACACATGTGAGGCACTGGGTTCAATCTTCAGCACCACATAAAAATAAATATATTGTGTCCAACTACAACTAAAAAAAAATTAAGAGTTTTAAAAAATCATAATTTTAGTAAGTCTTTAGAAAAATTCTACTAATTTTCATAGACTTATAAAAGACAATACAGTACCTTAAACTTATAGGGGGCCACCCATTTGAAAAGGTGTTTATCTCCAGTTAGCCCTAGACATTCCAAGGGATTTACAAAGGTTAGCATAATTCTAGCCAAGTTTAGATGTTACAGCATAGTTAAATGCAGCCCGAATGAAGAAACAGAAAGGCAAACATACAGACAGAAAGAGATTAAAATGCTAGTCATAGCTCCAAGAGAAATAAATTTCTTGGATAAAATGTTTGCTCCTAAGTTACAGATTTTGAAACCCCCTTAACATTAAAACAGTGTCTTACTTCAAGCACTTGGCAACAGTTTATTACTGAAAAAGAAAGGAAAAAAAAAGTCTGAAAATAGTTATGCAAATAAATCAGCTCAATAGTCAATAGCATATTTCAATAAAAAACTAACATAATAGACCTTTTCTMAACTTTAATAATATCTGACAATGTCCTACGTACATTGATATTTTTAAATTACTAACACCATGATTATACATAATTATTAGACATAATTTTACTACATTAAATAAAGTTATTAAGGTGCTCATACAACTAACTTTTTTTAATGCACAAAGTTTGTTTGTAATAGATCTCTAAAAATGTTATTGCTAGCTCAATGTCATTAATTCTAAATTAGATCACTGTCTTAAACCACACTGTGAACTTGTTTTTACCCATTAACATTTGAGATACTAATTCCCCCTACTTAGGTCAACATTAAGTTGATAACCATAATGCCAGTTTTTCATGGATTCATAGATAAAAGACTGTTCATTTCTCTATTTCATTATTTATTAATGGTAACAAAATATCTTCTCTAGGGTTATTTAATATATGTACCTCCTATTTTGGATAGATGTCTACATATTTCTCATGCCCCTAGTAAAGACCACCACTACTACATTGTATTCTTTATTTTTGGTAATTCTGTGAAAGTCAAAATCAAGTCATACATTTAGTAAAGGATAAGTTTCTATTTACCTTGTTCCCATTAAATAACTTTGCCAAGTTTCACAACCAGCTAGAGATAATAAATCTTTTCTTATTATTTAAATACTTGTACTACATTAAACATTGCCTGGATAACTTAAAACTA